CTCCAGTATCGCTGCCCCCAAACAGCCTAACCCCATTTCTGAAGTTTGAAGTCAGTTCTAACAGAGGAAGCAGTATGTAAAAGAAATACCCAGTAGACTGTTCAGGTTGTAGCACAGCAAGCTGAGGTTTTGTGCTCTTATCGGATATCCATAATGCAAGATGAACCAAGGTTACCAGTATTCCCTATGCTATCCTCATTTGCAGTCTCCCCCTTACTTGTAAGGAAAGCACCATAAACTATTTCCCAGCTGAAGGGAATGAATCCAACATGTTCCCAGGTCCTCCCCCCTCTCCCAAGTCCAGGGTTTAAGCTGGTGAGTGTGGCAGGGGCTGCCATCCTTACCACCAGGGCTCGGATTTTGATCTTCTCATTCTTGGTCTTCTTGTAGATCTCCTTCAGGAGCGCCACTCCATTGGAGATGATGAAGGTGGCCCGGCTCAGCTTGGTGGAGGCGTGGATGAGGGCTTCCACAGCCACCAGCTGGTCAATCTCTCTCTCGGACCCACACAGGGCCACCATCATCTCCATGACTCCCTTCATGCCAAGCAGCTTGTTGCCCAAGTCAAAGGGCCCTTGCAGAACTCCAGACACCATCTGGATAGCATGGAGTGTTTTATCCATGTCCTGTGGGTCAACTTTGCTCCTGCATGGGATAGAGAGAGGGAATAGCATGTGGAACAGCAGTTGCTTAAGTTCTCATTCCCTTGAGCAGGGAGCATCCTTCCTCAGATCAAGAGCTGGGCTCCTCTGATAGTAGGTACATGGGACACAGTTGAGCCTAAACTCAGGCAAAGGCTGTGATCCAGCAGGTAGGAGTACAATGCAAGGATCTGAGGATCCCAGCTGAAGGATCCAGCAGGATCTCAACCCAATCATTATCTCCCAGGTCCTCAGTTTGGCATCTAAGTGGACTCCAAGTACCTCACCTCATCCTTAAGACCTCCCACTCCTGTGCCTCTGAGCTCAACTCACTTGATGTACTCCTCGCAGATCACCCGGTAGTTGTCACGCTCCGGGTCGCAGCGCAGGTCATCATAGAGCTTATTTAGGAGCACCGAGGCACTCAGCTGGGTGTTCTCTGTCAGCGGCAGGCAGTCAGGCAGCTCAGGAATCTGGCCCACCACTTTCAGTATCTTTTTTAAGCCTGGAAACAATGGAGTCGTATGGCTGTTAGAGGGGAGGGGTCTGTACACAGCTCAAGATACTACTTGTTGGTTTCCTGCAGTGAAATAGCCAGTTTGGATGGTTTTCAATTACTTTGCAGCCTAATCACACAAGTCTTAAAGAAGATGCTCAGACATTTACTGGGGAGGAGCTTCTGCTCTTGAGATTGCAGGTTTGCAGCATCAGGCTTTTATCCAGCTCTCAGAATGAGATAAGCAAAACTGCATGTGGTCCCTGGCTGGATCAGTTATTTTTGTCAGGAGGGTTTAAACCTACTGACTTCCAAGGCTGGAGGCTCTGACTAAGGAAAAGTCAGTGACTTCCAAGGGATCCTGGATGTCTTAACCCTCCTTTTGCTGCAGTGTTATTTAATAGCTTCCAAAATGGTACCGCACATATGCATTGGAATTAGTATAAAAATGCATCCCACGCAATTTTCTTACCCCCTTCCAGTTTTAGAAATGACCAGATTAAGGATCCAGCAAGCTCAGCAGGTGCTCATCTCATCTGAAGATAGACAAGTTATCCAACCCAAATCCTCCTAACGTTAGCAAATACGTTGGAATAAATGAACCAGAGAAGTCAGTCCTCTAGAAACTGAAAAAGTCTTGTTCTCATACACAGCTTTTTTCTCTCTTAATCTTAATACTGCTACCTGCTAATACATCTAACCTCGCTCCAGGCTTGCATGCACCAAAGAAAGCTACAGAGGATCAGTTCTACAGGTATTCAGGCAAGAATACACAGCTCCACATCTCCCAGACCAGAACAGGGAGGAAGAGAAGGACTCACCATTGTCGATGACAAAGATAGTCCTGCTGTTGTCATGGTCTTTCAGGTCCTTCCTTGGTATATTCTTGTTGAGGAGGTTGAGAGCTCTGTCTCGTCCTTGCCCAGACACTTTCTTGCTGACCAACATATCCAGCAAGCGCATTGTGATCATCCTCAAATCTTTCTTAGTATCTACACAGAAGCAAGACAGCAGCAGCCAGTTACAAGACATTATCTTCAAAAGCAGATGAATTCAGTGAAAACCATTCAAAGGCATTACGTGGCTGCAATATTGGTGTTTAACACCATAAGGATAAGAGCTGCGTGCAGGCTGTCATCCTGGACAGCTGGAGGGTAAAGGCCCCACTTCCCCAAGGAACAAGGAATAAGGTGGACATCCCAGGAGCAGAGTCCTCTCTGCTCACCCCACTTTGATAGCAAGACCACAGGACCACCAGGTCATGCAGTGTTACCAAGCACTACAGCCTCCTCCTTCCCGTGATGCTCCTCTTTCCCCTGGCCCAGCAAGCAGTCGGTGATGGCTTGCAGAAGGCTGCAGACAGCCAGGGAGATCTCTTCATTGTCCACAGACATCCACATACAAATGCTGTCAATGCCCAGGTAATGGAGAATGGCAGTGGCCTGGCACCAGAAAGGAGAGAGCAGGGCAGCCGTTAGCAAAAGCCTTTACTTCCTGCATATTTAGGCTCAGCTTGTACAAAGGAACTCTTTTCCTGGGTGAATCCTGAGTCAGTACAAGGCAGAGTTTTGCTTTTCAGCCTTAATTTCTAATAAGACAACAACTAACATGTAGAGTTGCCAGTAATTAAGTCTATTTCCAAAGAGGATGTTAAAAGCATTGCAAGGCTTGCAAGCCTTAGACAAAGCTTTCCTAAAGTTAGTTGTTCTTTGTTGCTTTTCTGAGACCTGTGATGAAGGACATGGATTTGACCCAACCATGCTCATCACAACTCCTGTGAGAACAACTCATCCTAAGTTCTACTTCACCAGCACACATGAAGGCACCATAGTGAACAAGTACAGCTTTCACCCCTAGAGGTCAGGGGCATTTTCAATCGTGTTACAAGCCTTGTAGGATCTAATGCCCCACTGCCCACAAGCATTAAACCATGGCAGTTTTCCACTCCCCCTGGTGCCAGGCAGTAGCAGCGAAGGCTGCTTACCCGAGCCTTGTGCCCTGTGCACATTTCTGAGAGGGTCCTCACGGCTGCCAGGACCAGCTCCGGGTTTTTGGTTTCTATCAGCTGCAGCAGGAGGCTGACCCCGTTGTTCTGGAAGATCCTCTCAGCACCCGCTTCCTCCCGTCCCAGGATAATGAGGTTGTTTGCAGCCTGGGGGGGAGACAGACCTGAGGTCAGTGGCCCAGCCCTGCAGAACATCTCTGTGCAGCTCTGGGGTGGTGGCCATCCCGCAGTGGCAGACACAGACAACCAGCTCAGACCACACCACACAGTTCTCCAGGTACATCTGGGGATTAGCTTCACCCTGCCCCATTAAAGTGGGTCACTGCTTGGAGAGGAACATAGGGGAAGGTGGCAGAGATGGGCCTGATAAGTCCAGTCTGATCCCACCTTTGGTATACTGGGAGGCGAGATCACCTTCCCCCTCAGCACAGGGGTGATGCCTCATTGAGACACTTCCCCTCTCCAAGCACAGCTCATCTCCCAACTCCTTTCCTCATCCTCCATCTAGGGCAGGAGGGAAAGGGAATGCACCTTACTGCTCCTCTGACATTAAATAGCAATTCTGTCAAGTCCAGGACAGTCCTCACCTTCTCCCGCTTTTCTTTGTCGCTGTTCTCATCCAGCAGGATTTCAAACATCTTCTGCACCCTCAAGTCCGTGGAGAACTGAATGCGCAGCTGTGCCAACAGAGAGTGCATGGAGCATCAGAGGCAGAAACCTGAAGCGCAGGTTTGTTTTTCCTTTATCACTTCAAGGACATCACAGCCCCTCAAACCGTGGACAGTTTAAAACAGGCATCACTTCTCAGCAACCAGCACCTATTGCCCATCTCAGACTTGTAGGCACAAGCAGAGCCAGCCCATACCCATCATTTCTGAGACCTAACCATCCCTAGTGATGCAAGGACTTCTTCACAGCACCCTGGAAAGATGTCAGAGTGGCAGCTGCCAGCCCCAGCCCCAAAGCTGGTCCAGTTCCTTGCCAGGACCTTACCACAACACTCAGGACCAGGCCAGCCTGAGGAGTGAGCTGCTTTTTAACTTAACAACTCAATCTGACCCCCAGATTTACATGCACCAAATATGAGCTCCCAGTAAATGCAGCCTATTTATGCCTGTACACTGTTAGGAGTTTCCAGTATGATCAATACTCTGTTAATGTAACCCAGAGCAAGAACATTCCATGCCTGGTCTGTGAACCCAGCACTGCTTCCCTGGCATTTACCTTCTCCTGGATGTTGGCTCCCAGTCGCCTCAGGGTCTCCTGGAAGTTTTTGTTGCGGGGTTCAATGGCAGCACATTTCTGAGCATCTTTGAATGCTTGGTCCAATTTTCCCAGTTTTTCCAGAGCTTGACTGCGCCGGTACAAGGCTTTGATATCCGAGGAATTGATGTCAATAGCTGGAAGAATGATCCAAAACACCAGCCATCAGAGTCTGCTGCGTGGAAATAACCTGTGTAAACTGTGATTTGCTTTACAGTGACTATAGCTCTTTGAGATGTTATTGTGGATTAGCTCCAATACAACAAATTGGTGCATCTTCTTTTCAACCTCCTCCATTAGTTCCCTTGTGGCCTCAACACTTGGGTGTTAGTGGACATGAAGGAATAAGACCACAGCCCCCCAAAACCAGATGTGAGAGCAGGCTGAAGCAAGCACACCCACCAATGCAGCTCTGCCTTCTCAAAACAGCCCCCTCCTTACCTCTAGATGCATCTGAGGCTGCCTTGGCATATTCCTCCTGTTAAATCAGCAAGAGAGAAATGTGTTAGCAGTGGAATAGCAGGGCATGTCCCCACTGCTGACACACTCTGTGACCTCTGTGTTCCCATAGGACACCTCAGTGAAGCCTTTTCATCACTGATGGAAGAAAAGAGGGAAAGGTCTCTGATGCAGGTGAGACAACATACGCTGCTGCAGCAGCAGATAGTGGGCAGTGAGGGCAGAGGGGATACTCACAACAGCCTGTCTGCAGCTTGTTCTGAGTTGGTGTTTCTTCTGGGTTAGTGTAAACTCAAGCACATGCAAGAGATCTGCTAAAACCCCACAGCAGGTCACTACAAGCTGACTGCAGGAAGCCAAGACAGTTTTGGTACAGATACCAATAACTCAGTTTGCTAAATACTGACTTCTGCTTCTTTTGCGCTAGGACAGATGGCAAGAGCAATGTCTCCGCATCCCAACTCATGGCCTACAGTGCTCTCGTGGCTGCCAAAAGCTTTTGCTTCAAAGTGATTATGTGAGGCCCTCTCTGACCTGAACCATCAGGACTGAAGCAGGGAGGCAGCTTTACAGTTCCAGAATAAGCCCAGAACAAACCACTTCAGGCCAGTTGAAACATGCTATTCAATCAATGGACAAAACACACAGCCCGCAGCACGGGAGCGCCCTGGCCTGCCTCCCTGCTCTTCTCCCCTTGAGCACAGCCCAAGCAAACCAGGAGCAAACCTCACCTTCTTAAGGAAACACGCTGCCCTGTTCCTGTACAGCACTGCCTGCAGTGCCTTGTCCTTGTTGAGCTTTATGGCTTGAGTGTAGCTTTGAGCAGCTTTCTCGTAGTCATTGGCCTGAAAGTACTTATTGCCCTCCTCTTTCAGCTGGATGGGATCCTCCATTTGGAGAGCTTTAAGGGAAAACAACGATTTGTGTCCCATTCCAACTGCCTACCCCACCATAAGACTCACATATAATGAACACTCACATTAATAAAAGCAGCTTACCAGGCTGAAGAGCTTTGAAAGTGAAGACCTAAGGTCAAGGCTGTAGCTTCACAGCAGCTTATCCCACGGTTATAGATCCTTAGGATTCAGTTAATAAGAGAAAAAAACTGGAGTCCACCGGTGCCACAGAGAGCCTGTGTGTCCCAGCAAAGAGCTCGCCTCCCGCTCCGAGTTTGGGCAGGACCTGGCAGCTCCTGCTGCCTGTCAATGTCACCTGTCACCACAGCCTGTCCCCTGTGCTATATATTGCCTGGGAATGGCCCCTGTCTGCAGCCCTGCTGGGGGGGGGCCTGCATGCAAGCACACAGCCCCTCTCTACAGGAGAAGAGATCCTCTGCCACCTCTGCAAGCAAACCCCAGCTTCCATCTACCTACAGAGCTGCACAGTGTGCGGAGCAAGAATGGGGGGGTTCATGCCATAGAAACTCCTAACTGTGAGGACTGACCCCCACCACAGTGCTCAGACCCTTCTCCCTTTCTATTTAGGGAAGCATGAGACAGCTGAGCCTTAGGAACAAGCGGCCCCATGCCAGCAGCTGCAGCAGCACCAGCACCTTCCAGAACACCCTGGGATGGGGAAGCCAGCTCACACCCAGCACTGCCTCCTCCTCACGGGGCCTTTGGGAGCCTGCCCCACTGGAAACCCCACTCGTGGCTTGCACAGAGCTCAGGTTTACCTCTGAAATAACCACAGAAATCATAATGAAAGCTTTTTTTCCCTCTCACATCAGCAATTCTCCTAAAGGATTCAGTCCCCACCAGTTCTGCAGGGCTCATGGCTCTGCTCAGCCACACCAGCAGCACAGAGCCCAGCTCTAATTACAAACTGTGGCTTTAGAAGTGAAACAAACCACACTCGGAGCTCTTGTGAGAGAAGGCTGAAACAGCTTCACCTCTTCCTCCTACTTCTGCCTTGCTCAATTCATAAACTAGCTTACTTTACTGAGCTCTGCTCAGCCACACCAGCAGCAGAGCCCAGCTCTAATTACAAACTGTGGCTTTAGAAGTGAAACAAACCACACTCAGAGCACTTGTGAGAGAAAGCTGAAACAGCTTCACCTCTTCCTCCTGCTTCTGCCTTGCTCAATTCATAAACCAGCTTACTTTATCTCCCACTGCATCTGCTTCCCTAATAAGCCAGACCAGCCTGTGGGGCTGTTATTTATAGAGCCTGGGGGGCTGCAGCATTGCAGGCACCTGTGCTGAGGGTCATTTAAAGGCAGCTGGTGGCAGGGAGCTGCAATAGATAAGGAGGAATTCCTGTTTCCTGTTGTCTCCGTTTCTGAGTGCGTTCTGCTCCCCACCGGCACGAATGGTAAACCCTTCTGTGAGCATCCCTGGGTACCAGCGGCTGGAGGACGGGGGGAGGGCCGGGAGACCCGCTGGCTCTGGGGGGCCCGGACCCCTAGCGCAGGGCCGGGGGAGCTGCCGGCCACAGCCCTCACACGGAGAAGCAAACGGGGCCCTTGCCCGGCTCTTCCGCTGCCGGCAGGAAGCAGGAAGGGGAATGGGCAGGGACCGGGAGCCCTGCTTCGGAAGGTACCTTTGGGGCTCGGAGGAGTTCGCGCTCCTCCGTGTTGAGGGAGACTGAACACTCGCTGTGCTTACCCATCCCAGACACAGCCTCGGTAGCATCTCCCCAGCGCCCGCGGCTGCAGGAGCGGGTATGCTCAGTGACAGGATGGTGCCAAATCTGCTCTCCTCTCTCCTCCGCAGGTCTCTCCTTTCCTGGCCCCGTGGCTCTCCCTGCTGGGGTGCCTGAGGGCATGGTGGTCCTGCGGGCTGGGCTCTGCCCTGGTCTCACCGAGGAGATGATCCAGCTTCTTAGGGCGAACAGCATCCAAACGGGTAATGGGGAGCACTGGGGTCTCGGGTTGGGGAATGTCACCCCCAGCACACTTGGGGTGGAACGGGCCTCTCCCCCTGTGCGGGACCCATCTGCCAGCCTGGGCAGTCAGGACTTCTCCATAGAAGCAGGAGAGTGTTAGGATGTGGCAGGGCTCTTGTAGAGGCTTTTGGAAGGTCTTTTGGGTGGGTTTGTGTGTTTTTCCCTCTGAAAAATGCTCATTCTCCTGGCAGGCTGCACCCTGGGCCCCTCTTGCCCTTAGGGGGAAGGAAAAGATTTTGAGTGAGTTCTTTACTTGTTCTGACTGGATTAGAGCTGGGGAAAACACTGTTTTGTTGTTGTTATTTGGAGCCTGTGAGACCCTGTGGCTGCTGGAGCCCTGGATGCTGTAATCCTTGCTTTCCCTCTAAGAATTACTTTTGACTTGTTTTATACCAGTAACAAACACATTTATCTGAAAAAAAAGGATGTTGGAGTGGTTCCTGAGAGCAGAGATGGGGCCACCAGTTCTAATCCCTGGGGCTATAGCCCTTCGTGGCACTTTGGGTCAGTCAGTAGTCCCTTGAGGCTGTGGCACACTGGCAGAAGGGGAGTCTCTTGGCTGGAACCAGTTATCAAATGGTGCTGGGCAGCTCTTGAGCAGAACAGGGAGGATTTTTACCATCTTCTCTCCCTGATCTGTTTTGCAATGGGCAGTGGGGCCATCTCCAGTTTTACATTGTGTAGGGCATCCCATTCATTCACTTGAAGTGTTGCCAGAGGGTGCAGATGTTTTGCCTGTTGGTGCAGGCAGGCTTGTCTAAGCTGGCCATCTTCTAGTGTCCATGATCTGTCCAGGTTTGGCTGCCAGCTTCTCATTCCTTGTGTTATTGCAGTGGTGGACTTCGTGTCATCAGACCTGGAGGACGTTGCCCAGAAGTGTTCCCTGTCTTACAAGGTAAAGGGTGACTCCCAAGTCCTGGTATGTTCGCTGCGGAGCTCAGAGCTGTTCAGCTCCTACTTGGATGGGTTTTCCTGGGGGCACCTCCTGCAGCATGGTGTTGTCCCTGGACTTCCTTAGTCCTGTTTCCGGGCATCTCTCTGTCCACCAGGCGCTGGCTGCAGTGAGACGGGTGCTCCTGGCCCAGTTCTCTGCCTTCCCTGCCAATGGAGCAGACCTCTATGAGGAGCTCAAGAGCTCCACGGCCATCCTGCCCACTGGGAGCCCGAGGTGGGTGATTGCTTGGTGAGCCAGCGGGTCTGCCCAGGGCTGGGCTTGCTGCAGAAGGCCATGGTTCCCCAGCACAGGCTTTGAATCTCAATGTGGTGATGTCCTGGGAAGGAGCCAGGGGCTGAGGCACTTGTCTGCATTTGGGAAGGAGGCTCTAGGGACAAACACCCAGGGACTGCTGCTCCTGCAATTCTGGCTGGAGGGGAGTTGATATCCCACCTTATGTTCATCCCATAGCCTGGACCAGCTGCTGGACTCCGGGCTGTACACGGGGGAAGTGACGGAGCTCATGGGGGCACCGGGCAGTGGGAAGACGCAGGTGAGTGGGGTGGAGGAGAGGACAGGTAGGACAAAGATGATGCCTTCAGGCATGTGAAGCACAGGGGCCTGGGAGGGCTTGCTGACCTCCCTGCCTTTCCAGGTGTGCCTGGGCATTGCAGCCAGCGTGTCTCTTGGCCTCAAGCAGCACGTCCTGTTTCTTGACTCCACGGGGGGGTTCACTGCCTCTCGACTCTACCAGATGCTTCGAGCCCAGGAAGAGGAAGAGGAAGAGCAGGCAAGTTCCCCTGAGCTGAGCCCTCTGTTCACACTTGGCTCTTGCCTGCAGACAACCCCCAGAGATGGTTTGTCTTTCCAGCTCTGCCTTGTCATCCCCATGGGCTTTTTTGGATCCACAGTCTTCCTCCTGTGGTTTGGTGGGTGCTGTGCTCAGGCACAGACACTGCACTTTAGGTGCTTTTCTTGGGGAGAAGAAGAGAACTTGCTGTACTTGCTCACACTTTTGCTCCATGAGCATAATCTGTGTTGCTTCTTCCATCAGTGCCATGGGGACAAGAGTATTCATGGGGTGGAGGCAAATGCGGAAGAAATAAAGGTTCCTGGCTCCATAGTATAAATGTAAAGAGCTGATAGCAGCTGGGGCAGGAGGACTGTAACAAATCATGGTGGGGTTGAGGCTGTTGGTGATGCCACTTTCTGCTGCAGCTGGAGGCTCTGCAGCGGATCCAGGTGGTCCGTGTGTTTGACATCTATGAGATGCTGAGTGCCTTGCAGGAGCTGCGGGAGCACCTCTCCCAGCAGGTAGGAGCAAGGGACCGGGCCCCTCTCCCTTCCCCAGAGCTGCACTGGGAGCAACAGGGCTTGTGTGCCTGATGAGTGACATCGCATCACCCTGCCCTGGGGACATCTGAGCCTGTGTGCAGCTCATGAGCTCCAGAACTGCTAGATGTGTTACTCTACATGGTGCCTCCTTCTTTCAGGTTGTGAGCTCCATGAGTCCTCTCAAGGTCGTGGTGATCGACTCTGTCTCAGCTGTGATGTACCCGGTGCTGGGTGGGAAGCAGTCAGAGGGTGAGCTGCTTCACTGGGATGTGCAATAAGGTTGCAGATCTCTGCTCATCCTGAAGAGCATCTTCCACGTGTGCTGGGGCAGGATGGATGTGGGTGCCACAGCTCCCAGCTTTTCCTTTGCTACTGTATGTAAAGGGGAGTCTGTCTGCAGTGTTATCAGCAAACATTCAAGCTGGCTGTGGCCATGCAGGCTCGTGTAGGTGGTCTGAAACCCAGCCAGGGGACAGAGGAGGCGCTGAGCTGTTTGCCCACAGATTAAAACCTCTGCTTACAGTGTCGCAAGTACATTGTGTTTGCTGGCACGGTTTGTGAAGCTCCCCTGGGGCCCTTTCTGCCAGAAAGGACCATAAATCAGGAGTGAGGGGCTTCCTGCTGGCTGGGATGCCAAGGAGGCCCCTCATACACCTTCCAGAGGGTATTGCAGACCTGGGTGGCAGCCAGTGCTATCACAGGAACCATGGGCTGTAGGAAATAAAGCTGTGAGCTGGAGAGATGGGCCCTGTACCTGTTAAATCAGCCTGGCCAGCTTTGGAGCTCCTGGTGCTTTCTTAGGGTTTTTTTTTGACCTCAGGGCTTCTAGGATGGGAAAGGAGGTGGTGGGACAACTTTGGGATTGGTCTGTCCATGCCACATCCATTGGGACAGAGTGCCCTGTATTTGCAGGTGCAGTGGGTGCTGGTAATGGCAATGGGTTGTAAGTGTCTATGAGTACCAGCAGTGGCACTAAATCTAGTGCTCATGCAAATATAGATGTCACCTGCTTCCAAGAAGTGCTTTTAGGGTTATTCTGAAACACCCAAATCCTTTGTCCTCCTCAGGTTTGGCCATCATGATGCAGCTAGCCAGGGAGCTGAAGACACTGGCCAGGGAGTTCAGCCTTGCTGTTGTGGTGAGTGTTTCTGGGCTTTGTCCTTCACATGCTGGCATGTGCCATGGTGAGGAGTCCTGGGAAGGGTGGGACCCCAATCCCAGCTAAGCAGGAGCAAAAGCCCTGTATCCACAGTGCTCTGCAGCTTGTTCCAGCGAGTGTGGAGCGAGAACAGGGCTGGTTTACTGCCTGCTCTTATTGCTGTTCTCAGCCAGCGAGGCATTAACTTGATTGAGCAAGGTAAAGTTAAGCACAGATGCATTGAAAGGTTGTTTGTATTTATTTTTGATATAACACTAGTCATTTAAGGGACTGGCCAGCTTCTAAGTAACCTCTTGCTCAGTTACCTTAGAGAAACTGCTGGGCATTGCATCATCCACAAGGAGCTAGGGACTAGAAGGGGCCCTGCTGTAGTCTTCCCCAGTGCTTGGCCCAGCAATTGCATTTGCTTCAGTGCACCCAGACAGGTTGCTGGGACCACAGGTAATGTGTTTGAACTGGGAAGGCCACAACAGAAAACAGTGTTCTGCTAAACCTGGCACTGGATGGTGTTGAGACAGTCCTGCCCTTTGATTAGCAATGAAGTGACAAGGATGGAGTGTCTGGAAGGATGCTTGGAAGCTCCAAGTTTAAAGTTTGCAGGTGCCTTCAGCACATGGAGTCTCTGCAGCTTGCAGATACGAGTGGGTTCCTACCTGAATACATCTGGGGCAGTAGCATGGGCTGTGTTTAAAGGGGATGGCATGAGTGTGCCAAGAAGGGAGGGCACAGGATGGAGAAGAAAAAGCACTACAGAAGTAGCAGGCTGGCCATTATCTCCTGATAATCTCTGGTGTTTCATTGCACCACGTGGCACTGCTTTTCCTGGGCACTGCTAAGCCTGCTTGTGCTGCAGGTGACCAACCAGGTGACAAGGGACAGCAGCACCGGTCCACCAAAGCCAGCCCTTGGCCGCTCCTGGAGTTTCGTGCCCAGCACCCGAGTGCTGCTGGAGAGCAAAGAAGTCACCTTGGAGAAAGCCACCACCCAGCGCATCGCTTCCTTGGCTAAGTCACCCCGGCAGGTGAGGCTCCTCAGGCTGGTCTCTCAGGTATGGAGGTGATGCTGTGTGACTTGGACCTGGCTTTGGAGCAGGGTGAGGCTCCTGCTGTGGGTCAGGCAGCACCAGGTCTCATGGGTGACCCATGGCAACGGGAGGGGAGCAAATGCAGCCTGGCTGTGTGCTGTGGAAGAGAAGAGCATCTGTTCGCAACAGCCTGGGCTTGTATTTATAGGCATGATAAATGAGTGGCACCACTTCCAATGTGGGTCACAGTGTTCCTTGGGCTTGTCTTGCTCTCCTGATCAGTGGGAGTCCTGCAGAAATGGCTCCAACACCTGCAAAGGTGACTTTAGCTTGAATCCTGCCTAGTACGAGACAGCTCTGCGTGAGCCTCCTGACTCTGAGCCTGCTCTGCTGCCTGATCTGAATGGGTTTGGATGTGGTGGTCTGCTGGGCAGAGAAATGCATCCTGGATGTGCTAAATAACTGTCTGGGGATATCTCAGCCCAAATTGTTCTTTCTTTACTAAATTGCATTCTCTATTTGTATCTCTGTGTTCAGCAGACCCAGTTAGAATGAAGGGCACCAGCATAGAGAAATGCTCAAGGGGATGTGTTTGGGGATCTTTGGCTCTGGGGCCAGTGATGGAGTGTTGGATAGAGTGAGGTTAAGCCCCTCTCTGTTTCTCCTTGCAGCCAGTTGGGATACAGGCGGAGCTGGATATTGGAAGTGCTGATGTGACACCCACAGAGAGGCTCTAATGTGGGTGGAAAACCAAATGACAAGTTCTAGAAGAGCTGCAAAAAAGCAGATCAGCACACTGGAGGCTTTACAGACTGACTGAGTCCTGCAGCCCTGGGAAGGACCAATGTGAAGAAGTTCTTGTTTTCTGCACTGGGGAGAAAGAGTGGGGGGCTACCTAGAGATCTTGCCTCAGCAGATGCTGCCTGCAGTGGCTGGGCTGTGTGAGCAACACAACAACCAGGTTGTCTCTTCTGCTGCAGGCCTGTCTTCAAGCAGCAGAGCCAGCCCTGTCCTCAGGTATTGGCTTGGGACCAGCTGTCATGTTCCTATACAAACCCATGACTCCTCGTGGTGGTTTTGTTTCCCCTTTAACTCTTTGCCTTCTGGTCCCAGAGCTCTGATCGTCCTTGGGAGCAGCCCACAGTGGTCTTGGCTCAGAAATGAAAGGTGCTGCACACCGCTGTGGTGGTTGAGAGCTGGAGTTCAGTTAATGGTAACTGCTGTTAACTTCATTACAATTAGGGTTAGTCCCCAGCAGGAATAAGGTGGGACAGGCTGCTGATGAGCAGGGACATAACCAGATGCTTCATCTGACCTCCTCCACAGACTAACACCAGGCCCTGGAGAGAGCTGCTGGTGTTTTGGGGGCACTGCTGTGCTTCAGAAAGAATTGCTGTTAACTGCTGAAGGTTATGGTTGCATCAGCTGGGGTGGATGAGTCCTGGCTGCACCAGCTGGCCCTGTCTCATGCTCAAGTTCCTACTCAATTGCATGTGGTGAAGTTTAATCTCTCTTTGCTCCAGTGCTTTCCAGCTGCTCTTGCCTGCTCTGGGCAACCTCGTGGGTGCTTGTGCAGTGCTGGGGAGGAGACAGGAGGCTGTGATGGAATGTGGCCTCTCCTCTTGTTCCCAGGTATCTTAGACACCCGTAACCCCACTGCTTAATAAGAAGCCTCTTTGGCAGGTGAGCTGAGCTCTGGCTTGCACTTCCAAGGCTGCTGATGTAGGTTGTGGGGGCTGAGACTCATCAGGGCATGCTCATTAAGCTACTGATACAGCAGTATCTGGAGCTCTCTAAGGCTCTGCTGGGTAAAGAGGAGGCTGATTTAGCCACAATTTGGGTGCTAATTTCTCCGGAGTTAGATATAACAGTGTACAGCCCTGTATTCCTGAGCAAATAGCTGCTGGAGGGAAGAGGCAGCTAAAAGGGGTGCTGTAGGAAGGGCTGCCTGAGGAGGGGAATATGCCAAAGCAATGTGAGCTGTGGGCTGTGCCATTCAACAGGTTTCAGTAAAAATAAATGCATTTTAAAGCTGTGCACTGATTTGCATTTATGAGCTTGGGAGGGGAGACTTGGCTGCAGCCACTGCAGCCTGGCTGGGGTGAGGAGGAGGAGGATGGCTTGCCCATCTGCTGGAGCTGGTATGGCTGGTCCTCACCAGCAGAGAATGTGGTTTGTGTGTCTTGAAGCTGTGTGTAAAGAGCTGGTCCACACCAATTTCAACCAAAACTGTGCTGCTACTTCCCCTCTCTGCCTGAGGTTCTGTAGGGGAGGCAAAGCTCTTGTGGTGGAGCATGGAGCAGGGGAAGAGCCAAATAGAAACCTCTTTGGTTATATTTGAACCAAGGGGCATTTCTTGCTGTTTCCTTCCCCTAGCTAGCAAGAGGATGAGAAGTGGAGCAGCCTGCTCTGAACCCTGCATCACCTTTGTGCCCCGCATGCATCTTTGCCATGGCCTCAGGAAATGACAGGCATCACTTGCTCATGCTCTTAATCCCTGGGGAGCAGTCATGGGGCTGTGATTCAGTGGGGATGGTGCTGCTCTGTGGGGAAGAGACTGGGGAAAGTCACTGCCATGTGGGCTGTGCTCCTCCAGAGCCACCCATCCCAGGCTTTGGGGCACAGCCATGACCTGGGGGCATTTTCTCCTTGGCAATCAGCTGATTGCAGCTGCAGGAGGTTTGTGTCCTCTTAGGAAGCAGCTGGACGGGTTGGGGAGGATGCTGTGATATGGGGCAGGGCTCCTCGGCTCCTGGGTTTGCTGCGGAGGTAGGCAGAGAGGCAGTGTGCATGGTGACAGTCATGTCCTGATGGATTCTGGCTGTGCTGTGAGCGCTGGTCATTGCTCAGTGTGGGTGCAGTGGAAGGGTTCGGGCTGTGGGAATCCATTGCCTGATCTGGAAGATCTTGTCTGCTTATCCCAGCTGATTTGCCGTAAATTTGCATAGTAAAATGAGCCTGGAAAGAGTCTGAGACCTGAATGTCCTCATCCAGCCTTTCTCTGTGCTCAGGACAGGCACTTCTGCAGCCTTGTAAGCTGTATGGGGACATCCCCTTTCCCTGCTCCCTCCCATTGCCCGGAAAGTGGTGATAAAACCCATCTCGGGGCTGACAGGGCACCCCTTGTCCCAAGGAATGGGGATGCCTTTTGGCACTGAGGACTTGTATGTGTACATACGTACAGAATACAAGTGTATGTTTATATGTACCGTGTTACAGGTATGCGTGTATGGGGGACTGTGTATATATGCCTGTGTGTATGTCTCTCTATATAGGTGTCCTTGTGTGTGTTTCCCGTTTAATGTATCTAAGCCCCTGTGCATATAGCAGAAACCCTACGGAGAGCAGGGGTTCTCCCTGCCCAGACGGGGTCTCGAACCCGCGGCCCCTCGGTGGGCTCTACCCTCTGTGCCTCCTGATGGCGCTAGTGAGGCCTCGGGGGGCGGGCCGCCCGGTTCTGCCTAGCTCGCGGCTCTATGGCCGCCGCTCTGGGCGGGCTCTCCGTGGCCGGCCGCCGCCGCCGCCGTGGGCGGTTGCCATAGCGCCGCCGCCGCCGGGCCGAGCGGGGGGCTCGGGGCTGAGCCGCGGCCCGGCCCCTTCGGCCTCTACCGGGACGGGGCTGCCGGAGGAGGCAGGTGAGGGGCTCGGAGGGGGTGGCGGTTGTGTGTGGGGGTGAGGCCTCCCCCGTTGTGGGGCTGTCGGAGCAGGGGGGGTGCGGGTGAATGTGGGGCCCGTGAGGTGATGGAGTTGTCCCTGAGGGTTATGAAGGGGCTCTGGGTAACGGCTGTGGATTGGGGGGGTTGGTTTTAAGGGGGGGGGGGTGCCAGGGTTTGGGGGAGAATGGGGCCGCTTGGACTGGGAAAGGCTGGATTTTGGTGGTGGGGAGTTGAGGTAAAGGGGCTCCCCCATGGGAAGCACTTTGCAGGGTTCCCTGTGGAGGGCCGGAGAGACTCAGGTGCAGCCTCTTTCCTCTGATTTAGAAAGTGGAGTTGAGAAACTCATTCCTTCTCCAGGTAACGCTCCCAAAGGCACTGCGAGGTTCGGTAGGTTATTCTGCTCGAAACGCTGTGAGAATGGAGGGGTTCTGGATAAGCACCAGCCGTCAGTAGAGCCCTTTGCTTAAACCGTTGTCTCTGGGCGTTTACAGCGTGTCTGAAGTACTGTGCTTGGTGGCAGCGGGGGGGGGTGACTCCTTGGTGACAAGGACCCGAGTTGTTCCCTTCAGGACGAGCTGCTTCTGCTGGAGACGGGGGTTGGACAGCAAAGGAGAAGCCGTGCGAGCCCTCCCTGCACCACGCCTTGCAAAAGGAGCTCGGAACACAGAAGCGCTGGGGTGTTCTTCGGGACGCTTTGTCCTGTGAGCTGGTCAAGGTGCTTCCCGGTAGCTCGGTGTGTGACTGCAGGTTGGTGACTGTGAGCTCCCTGCAGTGGTCCGGGCTGAGCCTTTGCAGGGCGAGACAGGCTGTGTCCGACCCTACTGCAGCTCTGCGTCCTCACATCCTGTCCTCAGCACCTGTGTGTTGGGTTTGCTGTAATACACGGAGGGAAACCTGGGTGTAATTAGGTTTAGGTTACCTTCCCGTCCCTTATAGGAAGAGTGAGCTTTCATACACAGGCAAAGCAGCTAGGGATGAATGTGCTTGATGTAGTGGCTGTGTGATAAATAAAGTGTTGCGCTTGGGAGTTTCACGTGTTTCAAGCACTGCGAGGCTGGTCTGGCTTGCTGAGATACCATAGAGGTGAGTATAACATTAAAGCATTTATAGGGATGTTTTAGGTTTATGGTTCTTTGCTTTAGATGTATTCAGGGTAATGTTTAATGTGAGATGTGAAAGGATTTGTTTTGTTTGAGCTCACTTCCTCCTCTGTGGCTCAGAATGTGTCTGCCATGGATGGCACAGCCTTGGGAGAGCTGTTTCGTGGCAGCTTTCTGCCCTTTCTAACCTGATTATAGAGTTGGTAAAGAACTTAGTGGATTTGCAGAATGCTTGTTAAATTCTCCGTTTCACTAGGATGGGAAGTGACAGTGCTGTAAGTTGGTGGGTTTGGTGTGTTTACATCATAGTGGGTTCTATTTCAAAACTTGGAAGCCCACATTTTAAGACAAATGGTCATTAAGGCATGTACATGGAAAAAAGCCCAAAAGAGTATTAACCTTTTGTTGTTTCCACTGTTACCTTGTTTTTCCAGAGCTGAGAAGCGGAACAGAAAGCTGGGATCTTGGAAAGTTTCTTATGAATTCCAGATCCTTGTATTTACCTACCTCTCAAATATAAAGCCAGGTTGGACGGGGCTTGGAACAAGCTGCTCTAGTGGAAGGTGTCCCTGAATGTGGCAGGGGGTTAGAGCTGGATGAGCTTTAAGGTCCCTTCCAACCCAAACCAGCCCGGGGTTCTGTGAAACCCTCTTAACTCCTCAGCACGTTTTGTGTTCCCAGTGGTGGGGAGCAGGGTCTTGTTTTCATTCTTTGAAAACATAATTGCTTTTGGTAGAACATTTGGGTCTAATGAAACAGAATAATCTGCTGTGGCTGCTGTGTTTTCCATTGTGGACAATTCTCTGTGCCTGTGGGAGCTCTGGTGGAGGGTTCCCGGCTGCAGCGCTCGGTGTTTGCGCATCCACTCCGCTGGTGGCAGTTGAGCTTTTAATTAAAAGCTGATTGCCTTGAAATTGCTGTTCATGGCTTAATGCTTCATTACTCAAGTTTATGCTGGATTGGATTAGCTTTAAAGCCATCACTTAAGTATCGTGTTTAATTGTAGAAAAGTAGGCTTTCAGTGAGGCTTCGTCATTCTTGTTGGCAGGTACATGTGATTGGGCTCTTGGGAGTCAACTTAAACTCAGAGCTGAATGCAATACTCTGCAGTGAGAGCACAAAGGAACAATATATCTAAGTTATATTTTGGGGCTGGTGGTCACCAGTTGTGTTTCTGACTGAAATCTCTCTTCTTTTCTCCAGGCCTTCAGTTTTGTCTGCATTGGGGTTGACTTTAGCGTTGTGTTTTAATTCGGTTTTTAGCTTGTGTCATTCTCATTTGTTTTTATACAGGGTTTGTTGTTTCTAACAACTCGCACTGTAAAGTCTTCCATCCTGCTAGAGCAGGATTTGAGTTGAATTGTCAGCTCTATATATAGCAGGGTTATTAAAACTTGGGCTTTAGACTTTGAACCAGCTTTTGAATGGTGAAAGGGTGTAAGCAGATTTTCAGCCAGTCATCTGCTGTGGTGTTCCTATAGCAGTGTGTCTGCCCCTGAATTGCCTGGACGTGTGCTGGAGGCAGCTGTGAAGCTAGACAGGCTGTGTCTGACCTGCTACTGCAGCTCTGTGTCCTCACATCCAGCCAGGTAAAATGCTGTCCTCAGCTCCTGTGTGTTGGGTTTGCTGTAATACATGGAGGGAAAATTGGGTTTAATTAGGTTTAGGTTGCTTTCCCATCCCTTGTAGGAAGAGTGAGTTTTCATACACAGAGTATCTCAGAGTGTCTCTTCTCTAAAGCATTTGACCAGTCCTGGGGGATACAGAGCCTGTTCCAGGGATAAGGAATTAGAAAGTACATTCAACCAAGAACTTGGAGCTTAATAAACCACTTTGCAGCAGAAAGATAATGTGAGATGCAGCTAGTTGTGTGCACTGGTTTGGACACAACTGTGTGTGAATGAATCCATGCTGACTAGGACAAGAGGACCTTTTGGTATGTGGTAGTAAAACCTGAGGGAATTCAGTACTTCTCTGTAGTCTGAGCCCTGAGTACAAGCATAGCATGGCTTTAAACTACCTGAATGCTGCTGGTGTGGGCTAAATGCTTGAGTATTGATCCAAGTGTTACAGTCAATGCTATGGTAAGGTCTGTGCTGCTGTGATTTGCATACACTATATGTATTCACGTAGTGCCAGTGTTTCTCCAGCCCTCTTGTGACTGCCCACTTCCATTGTGAAATTCCAGCCAGTCTCCTGCTCCCCAGGGAATTCCAGTCATTATTCTTGGTAGCACCTATCAGTGTCTCCCCATATGGAACTCCTTTTCCTCCACTTCCCA